CATTGATGTGAAGTCTAGTCAGGATTTCCGAGCCCTCATTCATAATGGGTCAGTGTCATTATTCCCTATACTCTTTAAAATAATGGTTCTTTATTGGCATCTATGGTTCCAAGAAGAAACTTTAACATATGGAACCTTTCTGTTGCACAAAAAGGTTCTCTATAGTGGCAAAAGGTGGACTTCTTCTTCTTTAGATTATTAAAGGTTCTTCTGTGAGTGTATATTTTGAAAAGACGTTAGGTTGTTGAGGAAGAACGTGATATGGACGAGGGTCAACCAGATTTTTGGAGGCTCTTGTAGGACCAACCCCAACAGATTTTGCATTAAAAATATAAATGACATCTTGCCTCATCCAACAGCTTTATTAAGTTCCTTAATATAAATAAACTAACACACACTCATTCTCCTCATCTTCACTTAGGTTTTGGTTTCTGAAGTTCATCACCATGCTTGGAATGATTGCTGCTGCCTTCTTTATTCCCACAGAATCCTTTTTGCATGGTGAGCTGATCATATTACATATTATATATAATATATATTATATATTATATTTCTGATCAATAATATATAGAGATCCACTGATATCAAAATGCAGACTGATACCAATAAATCCAATAATAACACTACCGTTCAAAAGTGGGGGGGGTCAGAATTTGTTTTTTTTTGACAAAATTTTTTAATTTTTTCAATGACACTGTAGACTGGATTCATGGCTACTGTAAATTCAGCTTTTACAGGAATGTTACATTTTAAAATATATCAAAATAGAAAATCATTTTAAATTGTTTTAAATAATATTTCACAGTATTACTATTATTACTATACAGTATATATATTATTACTTTATTTATTATTCATTATTACAGTATTGTAATATCAATCTTACTGACCCCAAACTTTTGAACGGTTGTACATGTTATGGCCAAGGCTATAATTAAGTCATGATCCATTAGAATTCTATACTACTATGTCTACATAATCAAAGATAAAACACTAAAAACTCAAATAAATCATGTAAAACACAACAAGTCAATTTAGACATCACAACATTATAATGTACAGTATAAAAAATGGATATTCATTTGGAATTTTTTGCTAAATATTGCATTTAACAATGTAAATTAAATTATCTTTAAAGATTAACTATAAATGAGTGTCACATGATGGTAAAGATAATCTAAATGTAAAAAATAGGGGAAATGAGAATGCACACTTAAATCAACATTGATACCAATAAATCAAGCTCTAAATTTGGCAGCCAATTGGCAACCAATACGATATCAATACATTGCGCATCAGAACTGATATGGGAAAAGAAGTATATCGATCAAAACATGGCAAGTGTAGTGAATAGTCTGTAACTAAAGTGATTATGTGCCTAATGTGATTATATTACAGGCTCATGGCGAGTCTCTGGCCAGTCTGGATAATGTGAATTGCATTTTTTATTTAAATCCACCAGATGGCACTATAGACCCAATGAA